CAAGATGATGATCCAATATCTGGTATAGTACCATCTCTCGTGCTCGGACTTTTAAATGGTCTCGAGCACAAAGGGCACACAATATGGATGGATAATTTTTACAACTCACCAGCGCTAGCCCGAGAGCTCAAGGTGCTAGGGTTTGACTGTGTGGGCACCTTGCGTACAAACCGCCAATTTGTGCCCCGTGAATTGGCGACCATCACGAAAAGAGACATGACTGTCGGTCAAGTGTTGGGCTGCACCTCAGGCGATGTGGATCTTATGGTATGGAGAGATAAAAACCGAGTAGCTTTTATCTCTACATACCATGGTCTCGCAGTTACCAGGTGTGGCGATACATTAAAGCCGACAGTCGTGCAAGATTATAATGTATGCATGGGCGGAGTAGACCGAAAGGATCAGCAATTGGCTATGTACCCTATTGAAAGAAGGCGCACAAGAGTTTGGTACAAAAAATTTTTTAGAAGGCTCTTGAACGCTAGTATCCTTAACGCACACATACTACTCAACAATCAGTTATTAACACATCGGCAATTTCGGAAGTCGTTAATAACTGATTTGTTGAGAGCACACCGACCACCTACACCCACGCCAACATTGACACCAATCATACATAGCCCAGCCCAATACGACCTTATCAAGCCCGGAAAGCCGGACCGTCTTAAGCGGAAATGCGCCGTCTGCCACAAGCGTACAATAACCTATTGCAAAGCATGCAAAGTACCTATGTGTGTTTTCACCTGCTATGAGCCGTACCACACTTCACACTGACACTTTACAGATCATATATATACACACATACACACATTCACATACACACACACATATACACACTCACACACGCAGGATATTTCGGCACTGGTGTTCAAGATACTTCTAAAAAATTTAAAATGCTAACTTATTTCTTGTATTTCTATACCATTTATTTTATATTGAATTTTTGCGTCCCCAAACAATATGTCAATATTTTATGGAAATAAAAAGCTTTGATTTTACCATCCATATTGTTGTGAAGTACTACACAAAAAATGCTGTATTATGTGATGGCAGGTAATTTATTTTCTGTATTTCTATACCATTTATTTTATATTAAATTTTAGCATTTCCAAACAATATGTAAATATTTTATGGAAATAAAAGGTATTGATTCAAAATACATTGTGATTACCAGGGTCATGTCACCAATGCAACTCGTAATCATTAGAGGCACATACATTATTATTACTTATTTAGTTGTATATTAACCAGTTTCTGCTACTTTTTTAACCAACTTCAAAAAGGAGGAGGTTATACATGTGCCACTACATTATTATTATTATTTTTTATGTATGTTTACCGATTTCGCCACCTATTGTGGGCCGATTTTCAAAATGTTTATTCGAACGTGTATATGCCGGTGGTGGTCTCATACATTTTATTGTTATCTGACTTGAAGTTAAGGATGGAAATAGTTTATAACTTTTTTTGCCTAAAGCAATATTATTTTTCTTTTCTTTTGTCTCTTCAAGCACACAATCATAATACAATTGCTTATTTGACTTCACAATAGTTAACTTCGAAAAAAAGATCAAACCTTGATAATTATATTAATTTAAATAAGTCGCATCCATACTATTTAGCCTTCATGGAGCAGATAAATGTAAATTATTCACTATGTTTATGAACATGTTTTTTTTGTATTTTTCTACCAGATGAGTAGTTTTTTTCATTGGAATAAATACTTATGTTTCATGTAAATCTTGAATAATTAATTATTATGACACTGGTAAGCATATATTCTGCATTATCTTAGTTTTTATGTGACATTGGTTTTGTACCAATTTATGAGACTCATATTTGATGCATTCCTACTCAAGATCTGTAGAATATAACAACATACAATTGTTTAAACTAGCTTGGCGATAAGCTTAAATTATTGTAAACAAAACACCCAAGGTCCCTAATGCCAACAATGTATTAACAACTGAAGAAATATGAGACCCACTTAAGTGACATTTGAAGAAGGCCTTTTTTTTGTTCAAAGTTTATAAACATGTGCAGTATAAAAAAAATGTATTGAAACACATGACAATTGCTTTTTATTTTAAAATATACTCAAGGTTGTATAAGAATAAAAGAAATATTACATCCAGAAAGTGTTTTTATTTTTTATAAACAGGATAATAAAGATAAGTTCTAGTTAACCCATTTTATTTCCCTTATAACAATTGCACTTCCAATCAAAACCAGGTGTAATGTAGGAAATTACGTAAATGAATATGTTTTATTTATAAAACTAAGAAGTGTTATACAAAATTCAATCACCTTTCACCGAAAAAATCTAGATTTTTTATAACCTAGGTCTCAAAAAATACCCTATCTGTGACGAGTCCTGTACTGGGATTCACGGATGCGCGGAATTGTCATTTTATTATGTCACGTATGAAAGGATAATAGGAACCACATCAAAAGAATATTTTGTTTGTATTGTATTTGCACTTTTACCCAGTGTAGAGTGTTTTGTTGAATATTTTGTTTGTATTGTATTTGCACTTTTACCTAGTGTAGAGTGTTTTGTTGAAGTTAGATTCGCCCTCTTTTCAAGGGTTGAATGGTTTGTTTGTTAGATTCTCACTTTTTTTTTCAAGTGTTGAATAATTTGTTTCTTGTTGGATTCACACTTTTGTCAAGTGATGATTGGTTTGTTTGTTGGATTCACGCTTTTTTCCAAGCGTTGAATATTTTGTTTGGTTTCTGTTGTATTGTGCCCGGTAGTTCGGTGAAGTTGAGCCGATCACAATACACAGGTTTTTTATATATTCTCACCGCCTTGTTGTGATGAATATTTTGTTTGGTTTGACATTTTTGAAATGTGTTTTTCACTTTGCCATTAGTAGAGTGAAGCATTGTTATAACTCCATTAGAGTCGGTGACGAAGGTGTCCAACCGCACTCCTTGGATATTGATATCTTCTAAGATATTCAATTCCTAATGGATGTTGTTTTGTGAAGTTTATTTCGTTGTTGTTTGTAGCTCCATTAGCGTCGGTGACGAAGGTGTCCAACCGCACTCCTTGGATATTGATATCTTCTAAGATATTCAATTCCTAATGGATGTTGTTTTGTGAAGTTTATTTCGTTGTTGTTTGTAGCTCCATTAGAGTCGGTGACGAAGGTGTCCAACCGCACTCCTTGGATATTGATATCTTCTTAGATATTCAATTCCTAATGGATGTTGTTTTGTGAAGTTTATTTCGTTGTTGTTTGTAGCTCCATTAGAGTCGGTGACGAAGGCGTCTAACCGCACTCCTTGGATATTCAATTCCTAATGGTGGTTTGGTTTAGATTTGTTTTGAGGGTTTGTGTGATTTTGTTTGTAGAGTTTTTTGATTCTGTATTTAGTTTTTATAGTCCTCCTTTGATGTTTGGATTTTTGTATTCTTGGAGTCTGTAGAGTTTTCATGAAGTTTTTTTGTAGAGTCAGTTTTGGAGTTTAGATGTTTTCAAATCTTTTTGTTTGTTGTGTATTTTGTTGGGTATTGACATTTCGGCATAAAAGAAAGAGTCCTTTCGTTTTTTTTTTTTTTGGGAAGGTATGTAATGTAACGGTGCATTTCGCACCATTACAATAAATTGAATCATAGACGTGTTTTTAGTTTGTCTGTTGAATTTTATGACGTTTCAGCGAGTGCCGATTGTCAATGTGGTGGACGAGAATAATAGTCGGTGCTGATCGTCTATGGTAATTTATCGATTTAGTTTTTCTTGTTCTGGCAACATTAGCAAGATGGCGTCACATTGGTTTTTGTCCGGGTCGAAGAAGGTTTAGTTTTTTAAAATATAGCCTTTTTGTTGTAACGAGGGCATATTTCATATTTTATTGTTTGGCCAATCTCGTTAAAGACTCAAATTATATTGTTCGAATTGTTATTTTCATTAAAAAGGAATTAATTATAATGTCGCTGCTTGGTTTGTGAAACGTTTTGGGACCCTGATGAATCAGGGTTTTAATTTACACCTAAAGTTTTAGTTTACACCTTAGTTTCTTTTTATACCTAAATTTTTCTATTTATACCTTAAATTCTTTAATTTCAAATTATACCTTACTTTCTTATTGGATTGTAATGTCATTGCGTGACATTTGGATTTTGCCTCTCTGCCGGCCAGACCCAAGGATTTAGTTTGCTGTGGAGCACCTATAATGGTAGAAAAAGCTGTTTAGCTGCAGTCCATTATCAGGAACCTGGGAATACTAACCCGCCTCTTCCACCACGTGGGAACCGGAGTGAGATTTATTAGATTTGGTTTGCCTTCATTTCATTCGGACTGAGCCAAGGTCATTTGGTATGTGTTTTTATTAATTTGTTTGGCGTCGTGGCATCGGATACTGCAGGTCCCCAAGGGGTGTTATTTTTATTAAGGGAGTAGGTCGATGCTACAACTACCCTTAGATTAATTTCTTATTAAGTCTTTATGTGACTCTTAAAACATATTTAATTTTAGTTTTGTTTATTTATTTATTTGAACCAGATTGCATTAACGACAGTACTAATTTGAGTATAAGAATTACCTATTGTAATTAGAGTCTTAAGATACCATGTACTCTACAGACACTACGGGATAATAAACTGCCACTAGAACTTAACATCTTTGTATTTATTAGCTGCCCCCCGTCCTAGATTAAAAGTCTAGCGCTGACCGAGTTATCCGAGGCATTTATTGTATTTGTTGTTGGTTGTCTGGGTTCATTGAAACGGTGGTACCTGGCGCCCGAGTTTGTTAGTTTGTTAGTATTTGTGGTGCCACCAGTTAGTTTGTTTGTTTGTTTAAAACACAGACCACAACATACAATCAAATATATTTTTTTTAATTTTTTAGTATTACAGGCTGGGTGTTTTATATTTTTCTTTAATTTTTGTATGTTTATCAGCAGTCTGGTTACCATAGCCTAATTTAGGATCAGGCGGTTAGCGTGTGTGATCAAGATAATATTAAAATATTTTTATGTCTCTATTATAGCTACATCGTGGTTCCAGCTGATAAACGTTTGATGGTTCTATTCACATTCCTTAAGAAGAACAGAAAGAAAAAGGTGATGGTATTCTTCTCTACGTGTATGTCAGTAAAATATCACAATGAACTCTTCAACTATATTGATCTACCTGTTATGTCTATACACGTAAGTGTCATCATTCGTTTTTTTTTACTTTGGCGCTGGGGTCATGGAAAACGATTATTACTATCGATTCTGTAAATCTTTAATGTAATGGGGATCCATTCACCAGAATTTCATCACTTGAGATTCTTTTATACAGTTTCTGACTTAAGATTAAACTTTTCTTATTTGACAAATGTCGGTGGCGAGTGTTTTTATGGCAGGGACTAGTAGATTAAATTTAGAAAGATTCTTCACAACACAAACAATTAATTAACTTGGAGGAAGGGATATTTCTGAATGTTGAGATGTGATGTGTCGATCGTCCATGATCTTCAAGGCTATATTTTGTAGACAGTAAAAGGCTTTGTAACTGAAAATGTGATATCAGCAAATACAAAACATTCGATTCGGACCTTTAGGAAACACAAGTCTGCTTTACTTATACTTATATATATGTGCATTATAAGGAGCAGCATATTTCTTCACAGTGAATCACTAACAGTGTGGTGACGGATTAAGAATACGGAATGTCATCACCCCTATTCATCCCGTGGGTGTCGTAAGAGGCGACTAAGGGAACAAACTACGCAGAACAACAGCACTGCAAAAAGAAGGGAAACTTGAAACAAACCCTATACCAACCCGTCTGGCCAGTGTGGTATAGTAGGCCAAACCCTCCTTTCTAAGGAGAGGCCTATGTTCAGCAGTGGACTAGTAATGGCTGTTGATGATGATGATGAATCACTGTTTCATGCGTCATGTCGGAATTAGTTGCACCAATTACTTTTTCTTTTCCTACAGGGAAAGCAACAACAGACAAAACGTACAACAACGTTCTTCCAGTTCTGCAATGCCGAAACTGGTATATTGTTATGTACAGATGTAGCTGCTAGAGGTCTGGACATACCTGCAGTTGACTGGATTGTACAATATGACCCTCCAGATGATCCCAAGGTATGTACGGTTTTCCTGCAATTTATATACTATAGTCTCAATGTGCTACTGATTTGGATGATTGATGTGGATTTCCATAGCATGGTGGTGGTGATTCTAATTGGTTTTTCTTCTTTCATCCTTTTTGGTCAGAATCTACCGAGCCCATTAAGGTGATAATTGACCAAAATGCAATGTAAATATATAAATTTTGAATTGGGACACTTATATAAGTAACATTACATGTGTGTATGTGACTAAAGGGCTTATTGTGATACAGGGTGTCACATGTTATACAGGTCATTATATACAATGTGGACCAGAAAGAAGTTCACTGTTTAAACCGCGCTAATTTTAAAACGATGAGGGGTGGGTACCGGAGCATAGCTCCAAATGAAATTCTTACAGAAGTTTAGAAGAGTCCCGTTCCGGGCGTCATTTCGATTATTTAATTCATAAAAATTGCATTAGAACAAAGTTATATTTAATAAAACTAAATGCTTTTAAATATCATCGTTTTGTTTTCGTTCTATTTTCAAAATTATATTCTTTCTGGATGACCACGCAAGTCTAAAATATAAAGAAAAAAAATTAAAACATTAAATATAGATTTTACTGTATTCTATCAGTATCTACTCACAGAGTACAGGAAAATCTATTAGCTCATGATTTTTGAAACATCATTATAAGTATCTCTAATAATCTCTATATTGTATATTGTTTGTATAAGAAAATGCGAAAGACACATATTTATCGCACGGACTGCTTCACGCGATGACAATAACTAATGTTAAACATTCCCTCTGGTTTAGGAATATATCCATCGTGTCGGCAGAACTGCAAGAGGCCTTGGAACCAGCGGACAGGCGCTATTATTTTTGCGCCCTGAAGAACTTGGTTTCCTCAGGTATTTGAAGCAATCGAGGGTTGCGCTAAATGATTATGAAATCTCTTGGAATAAAGTTGCCAATATACAACAGCAGGTCAGTATTTAGTGAAGCCGACTATACCAAAAAATAAAATAATTAAATTACTATTTATTTTTAATCAACAGTTATCTAATTCTAATTTTTCTACGAAATTTATGTTACAGCTAGAGAAATTAATATCCAAAAACTACTACCTTAACCAATCTGCGAAAGAAGCGTTCAAGAGTTACTTGCGAGCATACGACTCGCATCATCTCAAAACAATATTCGACATCGATACTATAGACATGGCGCAAGTTTCAAAGTCTTTCGGCTTTGTAGTACCACCAGCTATCGAACTAAAGGTAGCGAATAAGGGACCTCCCCAGAAGAGGAAAGGAGGGGGAGGTTATGGATACTACAAGTCACTAAATGCTCCATCTAACTTTAAAAATAAAGCAGATAAAACTAAAATATACAGACAAAAGGGCAACAACAAAAAGTCCTTCAGTTGATAGTTATTATATAATAAAACAGTTTTATTTTATATAATTGTTTTAATTTTCATAAATAACATATCACTTTACATCAACAATGTTGGTTATCTTAACTATGACTCTAAATGTGTACACACACAAATACACAATTATTTCACCAACCATTTAACATTGCACAAATTTTGTATTCTGCATTCTTGAGGTGGTTGTTTATCGTTACGAATTTATTTCTTCTTTGATACTGAATTATTAGTCAAGAAAACTAAAATAAATTGGGATAATACCTATAATGTAAGGGTTAACAATATTATGTGTTACAGTATTATTAAATATATATATATATATATAATCATGGTATTTTGAGTTGTTACTTAATTTATACTATATTTACCATGTTTATTTAATCAACATGGATAACAGCCCATTTATAATATCTAATATCAAGTGAAAATGACTATGGTGGTAGTTAGAATCATAAAAAAAAACAATAGTATTATGAATGTTATAGGTGAATTCTGATCCCCACTCCCATGCAGCCCTATTCTTACCCGGTCTTACATAGTGTATAGGTAGGCAGACACGCACAATTAGGAAACTTCAGCTAGCGCTAATTGCAGTGGCGGATTATCCCTAAGGCAAAGTAGGCACATTCCCTTGGGGGCCAGGTTAGGGACGGGCGCGCGTGCGCAGAATTTTTTAATAGAAAAATATGCCTAACATAAAAAGAACTGTATCAGGAGTATGCACATAATTACACAATATAAACAATTCCTTAATTCTATCGAAATGCTTAAGGTTGACATCTAGGATTTATATTAATTGCCACTACTTCTTTGCTTTTATTTTCTGATACCAAGGAAGATGAAGGCTAGTCACGCACTAGTTGCTACAACTGCATTTATAAAGCAATCTCCAGACTACTCTATAAGTTGTAGTAATAGATGAGGGTTGTCCAGTCAATGGCACTATACGGTTCGAGTGTGGGTGGAAGCTCTGACCGCCCCGAATAAGGCGCGCTCTAACCCTTAGAGAGTGCTGGTAGATCTCTGCCATGGGATTTAGAGGCGAAAATGAGTGGCTAAAGTCTGCTTGCCGAACCAAGATCACTCATTGGTCGTCGCGGCTGGAGGTTCCACGTACTGACTGATGCCGCGGAGGCGGTCCAGGCCGATCATCGTCTAGGGGGTAGGGTGGCAGCACGAGACCCTTTCTTTCCGAGTCTTTCCTGGTACGTCTGCTTAGGAAGCCACCAGCTGTTGATCGCTAGGAATAAATTGATTTGCGCCTGTCACCATTGCAGTGCAGTTTCAGCTCGGCTCTGCACACACTGGTCAACGTAGCGTCGGGCGCTCATTTCAGTCATCGGAGAGGATTTTTCGCTACCAGCAGCTACGCTTTTAAAGGACAGGCACTAGGAGAGTTTCGGAGACGTCATCTACCCAAGTAGGAACAGTCGCGGTCGGCGTGAAGTGTCGTGCGGTGTTCCGCAGAATATCGGCTACGACTGGGTGCTATGCGGTGCCTTCTTGGATGGTGTCGCCGTCACGTACTACGTAGATGACACGCACACACGGTAAGGCGCATCGTGAGGATCCGGCGGCTGGGACTCATGGTGTCTGCACAAATCTGAGGCCTAGTTCTTTCATGAGCCACCTCCCTCTTCTGCGAGCAAATTATTTTCGAGGAGGGGATGGAGCGGGTCCTGAAGATGCTTAGAACTGTCCCGAGCAGGTACTGAAGTCGCTGAATGACTCTCATCCTGCATAACTGCAGGCCTGGGGTTGAATCACCAAAAAAAAAAAGAAAAGCCCAGACATCTTAATAAAAGCTGTTATCGGATCCCTCCTATTTTACCGCTGTGTGGTTTTATTCGGTTCGATTCCGATGCACTGCCCCACCGCAAACCCTGGTGGGTGACAGCCCATGTACCACACGTAAAAAAATAAAAGTTCTAGTTAAGAAATGACAACTAAACTTATGAGTCATCACTATCACATATATGGGCGCTAGAGGTGCTCTTGATACTTAATCCGCCTCTGACTAATTGTTTAATATTGTCTAAAAAGCAGACAATTAACCATGAACTTACTAATAATAATACCGGTTGTAGGTGAATCTGTAACCAGTCTGTGCTTCTCAGGTGAAACTATAGTTAAACCACCGTAAGCTTGGCCCTCCTTATGGTTTGCGGGACGCGGGGCGGGTGATGCGCTCGGCTATACATGACACGATGTACTAACTCGATATCTTCAGATTTATTTGTTTGAGATTTAATCTACACACGATGTAATAAAAATCGAATTTATTTCCATGTATTATAATGTCAGTGTATTGTAAGTTTTTATGATTAATTGTAAAATTTAATAGTGTAAAATAATTTTAATAAAATCACCTTATCTTCATCATGTAAATTATATTCAGATACAATTTAAAAACTAAGTAAAATAATAAACAAAAATAAAACGTACAGCCATGCTTTCACGTCAGTCACTGCTGGCGGACCGCGACGCACTAGCTAATTGGTTGAATGCACCCCCGCCCCGCGTCCCCCAAACCATCAGGAGGGCCAAGCTTACGGCGGTTTAACTATAAAACTTGAACGTATCTAAATAAACTAATTGATCATTAAAGTTCTAACTGATTATATTGAAAACGTTTGAAACGTTATTCTATCAATCATTTTAAACCTGTTAGGCAGAAAAGGTAAAATTAACGTCCTTTTAGAAAATAATGCTTAGAGGATTGTGGAATTCGATCATATATAGCATATATTCCCATAAAGGACATGAAGCTGAAGTGATATTATATAGGATGCAAGCGCACGCGGCCTCGCTCTCGTAATTTTTCCGGGAGAAGGAACTTCTGTAAGTAGTCGAAGTCCTTCTTCTGTATTTGTTTTACGATCTCGGTCACAATATTAAACGTGGATTGCAATAAGATGTTTTAAAAAATATATTCTGTACCTACTAAATTTAAGAAATTCAAAACACAAAGATACCACTTTTATTAATATAGCTAAATTTGTACCTACGTCTATGAAAATTGCACATAATTATGTTAAAAGGATACAGAAATCCACATGAGGCTGTTCTTGAAATCCAAATGCTTTCGCCGCTAACTTCAGGTCCAAGGTATTGATATCAAATACCTTCTTGAGGGGGTGTGTTTTATAACACCTAAGGAATGATAGGTACGCTTTTCTTGCCAATGTTTTCATGACACCATTATTTAATATAAGGTCTTCTAGCTAAATAGAAAAATAAATAAAAGTTAGATAACTGCACGAATAGAATAACACCTGTTTAACATTGTAGTAAATTACTAGTAATAATATAATAAAGGGTGTAATTTATCTATGATATATATGTATTTAGAAATATACAAGTATGTTTATCAGCAGTCTGGTTACCATAGCACAGGCTCTGCCACGTTTGGAATCAGACGGCCGTGTGTGAGATGTGTGAAGTTATTATAATTATATTATTACAACAATAATACTTATGCCACATAAGTACAAGAACAAGAACTCTTCTTAACCCGTAAGTCGACTGAAATCAATTACTACTTTGATCCTCGACGCACCACTCACTACCTCTGTCGCGCGGCGATAAGACATTCGACTGTCGGGACTTGCGGGCTCGATTCCTGCCCAATGTAAATATTTGTGTGCAATAATGTCTGTCTATTTTTGCATCGGTCTGGGTGTTTCTATGTAAAATATGTATTTACAAAAATATACACAGATCTTTCTACTGAGTAGGAAACAATTAAAAGAATACTAATAATCTATAACATATAAACTTGTTTATTCGTGTTCTGAAACCCAAAGTACAAACTTTGTTTAGTTTTGGTCTAGATAACGATACTATAAAAACAGCCAAATAACGAATAATATTAAAACCAAATTAAAGTACATATTATGTTCATTAAATTGGTTGTCTATACTACTCGCATAATAAATTACCTATATACAGAAATAGTCCTTACATATGCGAGTAATTCTTACCATTTCTTGTACTTCACCTGGAGGCATACTAAATGTATACTTATCCAAATACACCTTTTCTTTTTGCAAAAAATCTATAAACTTTACTTCTTCAGGTCTAAGCAGTATAACTGCATTGCCGGTATTGTTTAGTCCGCGAGCCGTTCTACCAACTCGATGGATGTACTCCTAAAAGAAAAACAGATTCACAATAGGTAAATCTAACTGTAAACAATAATACAAACAATAAAAAAAGACGTGTGGCAGTCCCCGAGGGACTGCCGCGGTAAAGCTATTGCATAGCATTTTGTATCAACTTATGCAATTATAATTAATTATTTATGCAGTATTTCTTTTTCTTTGATATTAATTCAAGTTACACTTTTTGAGCGTAGTGACCGATAAGAAAAAATACATTTTTCTTTCTTTTATTAAATAAAAATATTGAAGCATATATTACAATTTGTTTTTAAATAAATAAATAAAAAATATTATTATTAAATCAAATTACATATCCATGTAAGATTTTTCTGCATTATGTTGACGAAATTTCCTTTGACGTTCAGCATTTGATATTGGTACTGTTTTTTGTTTTGTTTTTAGCGTGAGTTTTTTTTTCGTTACGGAATTTCTGGATTCGGTCCCCGCGCTCAAGGCCCTCGATAGAAGCTATGCAATAGCTTAAAAAATCTAATATATTTGTCAGAATACCTTGGGGTCAGTTGGTGGATCATATTGCACAATCCAATCGACGCAAGGTATATCTAGGCCTCTAGCTGCTACATCCGTGCAAAATAATACTCCAGTTTTGGCTTCTATGAAATCATGATAAGCCTCTTTTCGCCTCGCTTGGCTCTGGCGACCCTAAAATAAAATACTTTTCTACTCAGAATACCATTTACTTTATAATAGTCTTAAAATATGACGTAACCCTGAAAACTACGTCTAAATCTGTTATACTTCAATTTAAAAGCAAAAAAACCATTTCGATTCATTGACCTCACGGCTTTGTCGTCGGTAACGGTAAATAGTTTATATTGCTTCAATAATTGCAGGTTACAATAACAAGTAAATTAGTGATAATAAGATATTATTATTATTAAGTTTTTATTATTACTTATCTTGCCTGTCGTGTATATCTTTCGTTAGGTTTAATGATGGATGTCAGATAAGATGGTTCGATAACTTAATCAGGCCTCATCGTGGTGCGTCTAAGGTTTTTTAATCTTGATTGAATATTTAATAGTATAGATCCTCTTTGAATTTGTATTGGTCCTACTAGTACGGCGAAAGAACGCCGAACAAGGCGATTTAGCATTTACAATTTAGGAATTGAAATTTTACAATCTAAAAATGGCCCATTTGTCTAGTGGTCAGTGAACCTGACTGTCAGCCAGATGTCGTGAGTTCTATTCCATCCCAGGACCAATAATTGTGTGGTGAACACGAACATTTGTTGTGTCTGGGTGAAATCGATCGATAATTTAAATAATTATATTGAGTATGTTTATTAGCAGTCTGGTTACAATAGTACAGGCTTCTGCCTAATTTGGGATCAGACGGTCGTGTGTAACATGAGTGAAGATTACTAAAAAAATAACCAACTAAATTTGTTCGTTCTTGGGTTAGTCAAGATCAAATATACAATACTTCAAGATTTAAACCGTTACAAAATGAAGTTGGTATTCGTATTCTAGGACTTACGAGTAAATGATAATTTCTAAATGTGATCAATAAAATATAAAAGCCGTTATTAACCGCATGATTTACAAATAACAGGTCACTATGGCGTTCAAAAAAGTTACTTACATGAATACTTAAAACAGATGCTTTACAATGTACCTTGAAGAAATCATAATGAAAATCTACAGATTTGCAGGATGAGAAGAATACCATTACTTTTAATTTTCGACTTTTTTTCAGCATTTTATATAACCATGACATTCTTTCCTCTACTGGGCAAATGTAGTACCTGCAAACAGACAACAATAATATAAATAATGCTAATAATATTTAATTATCTCAAGGTGATATAAAGAGACAATTGTGTGAGAGAGGTGGTAGTAGTACACTTCTCCCTCTTTTCTTCTCCTTCACTTGACATTTCATCTATACTAATATTATAAAGAGATAAAATTTGTGAGTTTGTATGTTTGTGGTACCACTGATCTAATTTTCTAAAATCTTTCACTGTTAGAGTGCTATGTTATCCCTAAGTGCTATGGACTACTTTTTATTTTAGTAAATATATATTATTAATAATTAATGACAGTAAATATAATTGAAGTCGGCAATAATTCTATAACATGGCGTGCGCTGCCTGAAAGGTTTGAAATAAACGAATAAAGTCTATGGCAAAAATATTACTTACTTTTAGCTCTACAAAAAAGGCTGTGACACCATATATCTACTTTTAATATCCCAGCTAAAAATATGGTTCTTATGGTTGGTAAGATTACGTTTGGAAGAGGTCTCGTGTTTACTATACAAATTCTTATAAAAACAAATAGCTAAATTAAAATGGTAATTTAATGGAGATATAGTTTACATGTTTATAATATGGAAATTTCCTGGAGATAGTTTTACAGCATGTTAATTAAATGATGATGAATGAAATGAAGATCATGCAAAATAAAAATAATAGGCCCGTTAAATTATTGCGTTCTCGCTGCCGCTGGCCGTGCGAGAATAGTAGGCAGGGCGTTGAGGTGAGGGGCGCAGAAATACCAGCCTTACTAAAATGTTTTGAATAGATTTTAAAGTTTAGATTAGGCGGTTTGTGATAACTTCTTAAAATGTCCAAAAGGCTTAGGTAAAAAAATTGTGATTTGTGAAGACTGCGCCTGTGAAAAAATCATAATTTTTTGTCCGAACATTTCTAGATGACAGAAAACCCGATCACCGATCAAAAAAATAATTAGAAAAACTTGGAAAAAAAACGAGATACTTATCTAATATTGATTAAAAAAACCAAATACATTATAAATTGCGATACACTTATTGAATACCAAATATGTTTTCTAGTTTGTTCAAATACCTACAGAATTTCTTGTTTTTTTTTTGTTTTAAAAGTCAACTCCCGCATTAGAAATATATCCTGTGACGCGGAACTTGAAACAGACATGTAACGGACACAAAGAACACCCAGACTCAGAACAACAATTTGTGGATCACACATAGTGTCGTCCCATGTGGGGTTTGAACCCACAACACTCGGCGTAGCAGGAAGCGACGTGGCGACCGCTTAAACCACTACGCCATCCGAGCAGTTTTGTTGTTGTTGTTAAAATATATTTTTTGTTAAAAATAAATAAAAAAAAGTCATAACACGGAATGGTTAAAAACAGAAGCGGGCTTTAATAGAACTGGCTGCAACAAGAAGTGGTCAAATACAGAATTAGTCATATCCAGAAGGGGACATTTTAAGAAGTTGTCACAGACCGTCTAATCATAGCCTACTTTGTCTACGATGTTATGGATAACTAGCCGGGTGCCTAGTTATTCATAATAGACAAACAAACCGATTCACGTTAAACTCGAATTTACAATTTTAAAATAGGCTTACTTACCCTTGATGAAGTCCTGAGACAGTCGATGTTTGCTTATCAGTAGCTGATATTAAAATAGGATCTGTTCTCATTGCTAATCTTGCTAAATTCTTAACATTTTCATCTACAGTTGCACTAAATAAGGCTGTTTGTCTTTTAGCTAAAACAATTTAAAACAGATTGCAACTTTGCAACTTATTAAATGTACATATATTATGTAAACTGTAATTCCTAAACCCCGGTGGCAATGTCGGACACGAACCGACTAAAACCGCACGCCGTCTCAGGTACCAGTAGAAGTAGACATTAAGTAATTAAAAAGGTACACAAAAATGTTTCAATACACAGGGCCTCAATTCTGCTATTTTAATATTGTATCAATAGACTGTCAATGGAATGTCGGCGGAATAGTTTTACACTTTTCTTGTTCTACTAACTATGTAAGACCAATGGCCTTCCGATGACTTGTCACTGATACAAATGTCGTCGATGTCTTTGTAATAGTTTGGTGATATTTTTGGTAATAATATATTTAATTTGGTAAATGATATATTTAATTTTCATAATATGGCAATGTTGTTGATATCAGCATTGACCTATATCACAATATCAACATTCTGTTGACACTGTGAATTTGTGAATTTATGTTAGTAGAATAACGATATTTTGACCGATGTCAGTGGCATCTCAATAGCGTGTCAATGGAATGACAGTGGCTTGGCGTTAACATAAAATAGCAAAATTGAGGCCCAGAAGTCTTGTTACCCATTCCACATTTAAACAGCAGTAATGTTAAATGAATGTCTGAAAGTCTTCAGAGTGAGAACTACACACACAAAAGAGCCACTATATTCTAGAAGATAATGTAAAAACGAAAGGAACCAAGACATATCAAACACTGGTAAAGAAAGCTGAGCTAGCCATTAAGTCCGAGACAAGAGAAGCACTTTGTGGAATGCAAAGTTTTGCCAAATGGTTTATCTTATGAACTATGACAAAAAAGGGTTAAATGTTTGACTAAGTATAAAAAAGTTGAGCTGTCCCGGGACATCTGGCAAATGTAAAACATTGAGATTATTTTGTAGAAATATTGAGTTTAAAGAAACCAATAAATATAGCATGATTAAAAACTGTTATATTCAGTTTTTTAATAAAAAGTTGTTTATATTAATTTAATACAAAAATTAAGTGAAGAGAACTTTATTCTCTTCTTTAGTGGCTTTTATATTAAATGTTTCACATCAAAATCCTAAATAAGATTTGAAATAGGCTATAGGAAAATTATGGGTGAATGATTGTATAGACATCAATTACAGGTGTTCAATGAATTAACAATGTTTTGAATATCTTCACAGTTTTACTTACTTCTAGTAATTCTATGATTTAAGCAAATAATACTCACTTGGTAACAGTTGAATAATACCAGTAATATGCCTTTCAAATCCTGCTTCCAAGAGTTTATCTGCCTCATCCAGAACTAGGATTTTCAAATTATTACAATTGAAGTTTTCAGTGTTTTGAAGATGGTCTAGTAATCGGCCTGGTGTACTCACTACAATATTTGCACCTGCAAAACTTAATCACATCAGTACTCTGTTCTTGTTTGTTATCTTTAGCATGTTAATTTTTAACATTTTATATTAGGACTAGGAACCGGCTCTATATTGGCTTACATAATAATCTTATTTCTATTATTTGGTTTAATACCAATTTGTGTTCATAATAATCACTCTTCATGATATTTTTTTCATACCTTTTATTACTACCAAGGGCACACATATCAGAGTTATCATATTTTTTTTATTAATACTGTCATTACTAAGAACATGTTTGAACTCATAATGTTGTTTTTCATAACAGTGACTATTCAAAATAAGATTTACTTATTTTGTTTATTATGTAGTGAAAAATATAAATGTAACTCAAGAATAACAACTATATTTGATGACATCTATTTCTTTCTAGCTAGCTAGACGTTAGTAACAGTTTATTTCTGTTAGAAGGGCAATCTTGCAAACTTTTTCTCTCAGATCAATAATTACACCGATAGACGAGTCCAAATGTTAGTTAATTACAAAGACGCAGGGACTTCGAAAGAGAAGGGTGATTCTTCACTCGTCATGAGTTTATTTAAGTGCTTTACTGGCCAAAAAAAATTTTTAGTGTAGAATTATTCTGTCATCAGGCATATAGAGAAATTTGAACTTGTATGGCCACCTGCCAAATGCTAAGCCTCTTTATAAATGTAACCATTTTCAGATAGATCAGATACAGAAGGTAAATTAGTGTAAGAAAAACATAGTGTGAAGAATTTAGGATAAAGGGATACCGCAATTCTTAGATAGGAAAACAGGAGTGTAACTACAGATATATTAAGTTGATATTAAGGATGATAATATTAAAGGTATCTTACCTTTCTTCAATTTTATGACATCTTTGGCTTTCTTTTCTCCCCCAACAATAAGACAACATGACAAATCAATGAAATCCAGTAACTTTTCCAAGACTTTAAAAGTTTGCAATGCTAACTCTCTTGTAGGTGACAAAATTATGCATCCAGTACCTGATTAAAAATAAACATATTCCATTGAATGTGTATAGATTAAAAACAGTTAATTATTAACCGACTTCATTTTGGTGGTTCCGTATTTCTTACCTTCTTTAATAGACATTTTTAGTTTGATTAACTTCTCCACAACTGGTATTAAAAATGCTAAAGTTTTCCCACTTCCAGTTTTGGCTGCACCAATGATATCTTGGCCACGAAGCAAATAAGGTAAAGCTTCGGCTTGAATTCGTGTTGGTTTTTCTATCCCCATTGTTTTTAAAGCTTTTAGTATTTTATTATCGATCTTGCCTTTTAACATTGAGTAACAAGACTGAGAGACTATTTCTTCTATTTCCATTGTCTTTGGCACAGTACTCTTTTCCACTATTATTAAGATTTAGTACATTGAAACTATAAACACCAGCCACATAATATTAATTGATACACGTGCACTTGTTTACATGTTTTCATTGCCGTTGAATGTTGATCCGATTGATTATGTCAAAAATGACAGCAAGTGAGAATAGGTTATAGGGTTCTTTGTTAAGCTGTGGTTATTTAGCTTACGTAAAAGAAATGAGGTATTTCCAGTAATTACTTATTATTTATCTTTGTGTAATAAACTGGTGATATACATATAAATAGTTTATGGACTTGTTGCAAACGAATTCATTCATATGTTCGTGTTCTATGAAATGAATTCATTAGGTATTACTCTGTAACATTGTTAACCGACTTCAAAAAAAGGAGGAGGTTTTCAATTCGACTGTATTTTTTTTCTTAAATTATCCAAATCAATAGATCATAAATGAATGTATAAAACCATTTATTAACATATCACACAAAAATCTTAGCAACTTTTGAAACAATTTGAGTCCCAAATTGCTTTTATTTGTTACACAGTTATAGCAATGTCTGCAACTGCATGTGTCTATAGGCGGCGCTCATCATTTACTATCAAATGAACTGACTGCTTGTTCGGTCTCTATAACGGAACAAAACGTGTCGTCATCAACAGCCTTTAACAGTCCACTGCTGGATATAGGCCTCTCCTTAAAAGGTTTGGCATAGGGTTTGTGTCAAGTTTTCCTTCTCTTGGCAGTGCTGTAGTCCTCCGTAGTTTGCTCCTTTGATCGGCTCTTAGGACACCCACGGGATGAATGGGGGTGGGGACAGTCCGTCCGAAGATTGCCATCCTTGCACTTAGGTCTACTTTCAAACCCAGCCCCTACACAACTGATTACCAACAGACTCCCCTGTTAGTAACGTGTGTGACACACGTTACTTATGTAATTTCCTATAGGATAGATTACGCGCAGTGAAGAGACGTATGACACACACTTGCTTTATATGGGTCAAAGTATCAGTTGCATACTTTTACGTTTCGGTTATAATTTTTATATAGAACTCTACGCTCTTTTTAAACATTTTATTAGAAGCTGATTTAAGTTAACTGTATTTCCGTGTTAGTGAAAGGCCTCTCAATGAACAACAATGAATTCAGATGTCTGTCAGATCCCAAGGACCTTCTAGTAGAAAATTTGGGCTTTAACAACGAGTACGATATACTTATCATCCTCGATGTAGTGAATAGGAAGTTGCTTCCTACAGTTTCTGGTTGAGGAGTTGACACTGTTGGAAATGGTGTCAACCAGAGGCGTAACTAGATAACCGAAGGCCCTGGTGCAAAAAAACTGGGACCCTCAGTTTCTCAATTTTGAATGTGTTTTAAATTGATGTGATTTCTCATAAGCATTATTGAAGTTACATCTCAATGTTAAATGCAAAAAACTTCAAAGTTTAATATCTTTTTACTGGTTCTCTGTAGTTTTTCAAAAATTTAACGAGATCGTTATCTTATTATTGTTTACAAATATGCATAATAAAAATAATTAAACGGTAACTCTCTGACCTTTATTACTTACTTAATTGCATTTTATTTAGGTACATTCTAAAGGTGGGAGAATTTTTAGCTAATTCAATACGAGGTTGTTGGTCAGGGTTCTAAGCATCCCTAAGCTTGGGAGCCCTGTGCACAGCACCGTTTAGCCCTTCGGTAGCTACGCCACTGGTATCAACTCGTCAAAGCCCCGTTCTTTCGACTATCCTGTGAGGCGATACACTGTACTGGAACTCACCGAACTTTATTTATTTATTTACACATCATGCACATTTTGTGCATTGGCGGACTTAATGCTTAATGCCATTCTCTACCAGTCAATTGGCATTGGGTGATGCAGAGAAAACAGGAAGTAGGTGCATTTTAGTTACGTAGAAGAAGAAGGTTATTAGAGGACCGAAGGTTTCTGTCGTGATTACTACATAGAAGTTAGGAATTGGAAGCTAGATACGTTGGCGAAGATGGGTTATTAAGAATATTGAATAAGACAGTGAGGGCGCGTAATTTACGAGGTAGACGAATGGGTACATAGTTAAGCGGCGGGGCCCATGGGCGCATCTTGCTCCTGACCATACGGTAGAGGCGTCCCCACGAAGGAGGCCCCGCCGCGAATTGCTGGAGACACTGGTGCGGGAGCACCAGTGTCTCCAGCAATTCGCGGCGGGGCCTCACTCTTGGCCCACTTTATCGCTGCCTGAAGTCTTCTTGGCAACCCTGTATTCCGCTAACAGCTCCGCCTCTCTCGCTGTCGCATCTTCGGGGCGGCGACGCCTTCTGCGGAACCTGGACCACCGCCGACGCGCGGTCAGGCAGGCTTGGTGCAGCCGTGCAAGCTCCGGTGACCACTAGTAGATCCGGCGCCCCGCAATATTGGGCGAAACCCTAGGCATCGCAGCATCGCAGACGCGGGTCATGGCTTCCCGGAACTACTGTTCCTCAGCATCGACGTAAACAGGCCTGTCCGGCGCAATCACCTGTGGTGACACAGTTTATGTAAGCGTACGCGTACGGCAATGTCATCACATTCATATAATGAATATAAGACGCCAGTCACTCTCCGACCTTCTCCCCGGGTACACATGTCTTAATAGACATTCCTGTTGTAATTAAAATACATAACGACAAAGACATTTACAAGTTTCCGTTTAACTCTCGAACCCACTTAGCTTAACACCAATAACAAATATCCTTTTAAATAAATGAACATCCCAAAACATCCACATAATCCTGGAATGCGAGGGAGTTGCCTTACAACGGTAAAGCATCATACCTGATACAAAATCGCTTCTAGAAGTCTGTGAAAGCCCCAGGAGGCTTCGACGCTTCTGGAAGAAGCTGGCTTGGCTCACCCAGCCGACCTCACCACGACGCATTAAGAGCAATTTCTGACTCTAAATGTGGAAACCAGAACCCACCAACAATACCAATTTACCAAACAACATGTGGTTTCATGTTGAAGTTTAAAAATTTTTGTTTTCGAACTTCTACATCCAAACTTTAAGTAGGTATTATTAATATATTATTCCAAATTGTATTTTGTTATTTAATGTTAAAAGATTAAATACTCGTGCTTATGGTAGTTTAGAAAAAAATAATTCTTAAATATAATTTACTTGATTTATTGTTTTACCCACCAGTAAGTATGAATATAGGGACATAAAGACATCTGGTCTCAGCATTAATCTTTTAGTAGTTTTGGTAATGTAACTGTAATGTACTGTTGACAGTACATTACATAACAGACCCGATACTACAAAACATGGTCCTGATTTTTCTAAAAAATAAAAAATAGGATTAATATCAAACAAGTGGGTAATATTAAAACAATAATTTTATTGATCATTCACAATGTTGTTTTGTTCTCTTCACTTCTATTCTCTTTTCGTTTTCTATTCAAACTAAAACAGCCTTGTGGTTGAGGAATGTGAGAAAAATAAAGCATGTTTACGATTTCAGTCTTTAAACCAGAAACACTGACGAATAATCATTGTAGATACCAAAAAAATCTTTTATATTAATAACAAACACTTCCACTTAAATGAAAATAAATTTACTACTTTATGATATTTCTCTACTTAATCTTGCTACATTAAATTCAAATTGATTGCATTTAGTGAATAATTTACATCTATAAAGACAGTGTAAAGATTTGAGACATATTCCTAGTGTAATATGACAAGAGACAATAACAGTTTTACGTTTTTCAACTTAAGTGTTAAACACATCACATTTAAAGGTATTACTAGGAACATTAAAGTTCATCATGTGATGAGTATTGTGGGGCATTACTGGCATCATCACATGCAGCTGGCGTTATAAACTCCATCTTATATTCACAGCGATAGGGTTCTGTGACAGATAAGAGTTTCGTTTCTAATCCACAACCAATATTTACAGTTGTGATTCTGCTAGGGCCATTCCAGCAAGCAACACCATTTGTGTATTTCATAACTGAGTATTTATTGTGACTGGGACCACCCCATTCTCCCCAATTTCCTAGCCCAACTTCTCCACCACCACTCTTAGATTTTTGAGTAACCTTTTGGAAGAGGCACAATTTGTAAATATATTCTTTGTCTTCATACTCCCAGCACTGGTTGTCTAAAGTAGCATATTCATGTTGTAGACCATAATCTTTTTCAAGGTTTTGTTGTATTTTCCTTATATTTGCCTCTATTTCCCTAACAGTGTGTTCAGCTTCTGTGTGTTCACGTCGAGCCTCAGTAGCAGCGTCTACCAGCTTTTGTGTTTCTTCATCATAGACAGCTGATGGTTGAACTGCCACATCTTCAGGTTCATGATCAGCATGATCTAGATCACCCTGATCATCTTCTTCTTGTTCAAGATCCTCATTGTCTTGGTCACCCATAGAATCTTCAATTTCACCTTCTTCAGCGGGCTCTATGTCTTCAGCCTCCGAAACAGGCTTGACTGTACCCTGCTCCATCATTACCAATTTCACCAGTGACCATGTATTTTCAAGGAAAGTATTTTTATCTACACTTTCTCTTTCACCAAAAAAGTAAGTTATTTCATCTTCATCCACTTGTCCATCCTTATTCCTATCAAACACATTAGCTGCCTTTATTTCATCTATAGTTAGCAGCCCATCTTTGTCTAAGTCAATTATATCAAACTGTTCCAGCGCTTCTTTAATAGAATTTTGCTTTTCCTGCTCAGCTTTCTTTTGTTTCTCAAGTTGCTCTGCTTCTCTATACACTTTTAGAGCATCATTCTCCTTAGCTTCTAGATTATTCTTTAGAAGTTCTTTCTCTTCTTTAATCTTCTCAGCCTCAGCTTTATCCTTTTCAAACTGTGAAAGTTGTTCTGCCATCTCATTTCGTATTGAATTACCTTTCTCAATTAATTCTAAACGTAAATGACTACCCGCCTTGTATAGGTCTGCTATTCTTTGGGCCTCAGCTCTAGCCTCTTTGCCAAGTTCTTCACAAGTGTTGCTGCATGTTACTGTTGATGCATACTCATCAGTTCCATCGCAGCAGTCACATACACCATCGTTAACTCTTGAACTTGGTATATTATGCGGTCGATGACCGGCGTTTGTGCAATGGAAAACACCATTAAGACATGCTGAAGTTCCAGGTTCGTCACTGCCATCAAAACAATCGCAGTAATCGTCGTTTACATAACTAAACGGTATAGTCATCGTTCCGTCGAAGCAGGTAAAGTCTTTAGTCGGTGAATATAGGGGTGCTTTAGATAAAGAAACCCCGCGAGGTCTTGGCACATCCGACTGAACATAGGTGATGAAAGAACTTACTATTAAAATAATTGATCGATAGTTGGTGATCCATGTAAAACAGATCATTTTTTTAATTAAAACACCGTCACCGTTATATCTAAACACCGGTCACTTGTTAAATCGCAGTAGATAAATAGAGAACGTGTAGAAAAATGACAGCGCTGACGTTACCCAACCAGAGTAGAGAAATCTAATTTAAAAAAAAAAACTAGAGAGGCGAAGCCTTCAGTAATGGAATAACGTGAAATAATAGTATGTGGTCTATGCCAAGTTATGTGATGCAACAACACATTGTCTACAATTTAAAACAGAACTTCTAAGCTAGTTCTTCGAAACTATGTTGTTTTAAGTGGTATCACTATAGCTAAAGTATAACTAAAGTTTGGGTGCAAGTAAAAGATTGCATCACAAAATATTTTCTTGCTATCATATTATTATAATTAATTAATAAGATATTAATACTACTAGGGCATTCGTCTTAAAGTAATACTTTCACTCTAAATATTTTGCATTACACTACTCTTTTCATCGAAACAGTAATCAATTATCTTTATCGTATCTTTAGGGGTGTATTCGATGTAAAACATTGGATAACAGCATTGAAGTTAAACGATGTATCGCTAGAAAACATCTTATTTTTTTTACTATCGAATACTTTCCACAAAAGTTTAATATTACCTTTTTCCAGTGAAACGAACAAAGTTTCTTGTCCTTGATTTTGTATGTGTGAATGTAGAATCAGAGACCAAAGTAACATAGTTAAACTAGAACTACTAGTTTAACTATGTTACTTTGGTACTATGTTACTAATAACAATATTTTTATGAGTGTTACTGAATAGAATTGTACTACTAAGATAGTGCTGAGATGACTGAGATGAGTTATACCTATATTTGTAAGTGAAATAGGAACGGCAAATTAATAGAAATAATTTATTACAAACCACAACACAGAAACAGTAAAAGAAAAAAGACAATTTAGCACAAGCCTCAACCTAGGTACCTAGGTAAAAAAAAAAAAAAGGTACCTGCTACGGCGTAGCTACGGCGAGTGGAGTTACTCTCACGATGGCACCCATTCATTTTTCAATTTTATTAAGCAAGCGAGTCTTCCAACTGGAGATTTTGGTTTTAAACTAAGCAATGAACAAAAGCAATGATTCGAGCGGGAGGGACAGCAACGCGCTTGGTGACTTTTGAGCTCCAGGTGACCATGGGCGGCTGTAGTTGCTTACCATCATGTGACCCGTTTGCTCGTTTGCCCCCTTATACCATAAAAAAGAAGAGTGAGAGTAAGTGAGATGAACCTATAGAATCCACAGACTACATACATTGAGAGTGAACGGTCGATCAATCTGGCAGGATAGATTAGGTAATTAAGCTGGTCACTCACAGATGTTACTATCTTAATGACCCTTATTTAAAATTGAAGTGAAGTAGTGTTAAAAATATTTAGTTTTTTAATAGATTCAACAAAAAAATAAAAAAGCAAATATTCGATGTCTCCATAAATAAATAAATCGAAATATTGAATATAATTAATATTTGTTGAAACATCGTATCAATCCGAAATATCAAATGGAAAAAATCGAATAAATTCGAAAAATCAATGTTAACTAAATATCTCTAATTCTATTTTATGCCTCTATGGTTTTCGTAAATTGTTTGGTTATGCTTATGCTTAGTAGTGATGCGCAAAATGTATCACTGAGCTGAAAAGATTGATATATATCATTTCGATCAAAAGATATATATCACTCATCTAGCTCACTAGCTCATTTAGCTCACTAACTCGTTTAGCTCACTAGCTCATTTAGCTCACTAACTCGTTTAGCTCACTAGCTCATTTAGCTCACTAACTCGTTTAGCTCACTAGCTCATTGATCCGATTCAATTGATTGGTCTCTCAATTAATTCATTTCTTCATCTCGATCGTTTAGCTCAGTATACTCGTATATCACTCACTTTAAGCCTCTCTAGCCATACAAACCTTTCTTTATTTTCATATTAACCTAAATTCAGTTTTTGAAACTACATTTTAAACCTATTTTTGTTAAAAAATTTTTTTTATTAATTTTGATAAGATTACATAATTATTAACACCCTTTCACATAATAATTAAAAATAAGAAATTATTTCTTGTCCTTTTTTTTAGGTTGTATAATAGAAATCATACATAATTTGATTTTCCTTGTACTTGGCTTAATTCTAAAGTAATATTAAACTTTGATCCTATAGAAATAATGTACATTTTGCATAAAGAATCTTGCGTGAACTCAACCATCATCTATCTCACTCATTTATCTGTAGTCTCACTCGCTCATGAAACAAAGATCGGCGTCGTTGAGCTAGTGATCTAATGATCTAGTGAGCTAGTACTGAGTTACTGATATATTCGGAGCTAGTGTGAGTGAGTGATACATTGTATCGTCGTGAATGATATATATCTTTTATATCACTCACTCAGGAGCTACACAACTCTAATGCTTAGGTTAGAGAAAATATTTACGTACCTTAAATTATTTAGATTTCTGTATACAAATTAATATTCTCGAGTTCAATACATAGAAAGGAGACATGGAAACCATATTAGAACAGCAAAGAAGCTACCATGAGGAGAGGGAAAGAACGATGGACGCTATGGTTAAGGAAATTCTTCATAAGAAGACTGGGGTTAGTGTTTCTAACAATATCTTCTTTAAAGTTATAAATCTTGAATATTAATTAGCTATATTTATAATTTTAGCATCGAGAAACTATAAATGGTGATCATCGTTTGAAGAACTTACATGATGTGAGTAACTTGTAATACAATAATTTTGTATTTATTTTACCTAGCTGCTGCCCACTAGTTGCTTAAAGATCTTGGTAGTTTACATAAATATGAGAGCTTTTAGCACTGAACAGAATAACCCATTGTTAGAGGATAGATCGATAGATAGATAATAATTTATTTGTACAACAGGGTTTTGCAGACATGTACAAAGGGCGGCCTTATCAGATAGTTAAAAAATGAGTTTTGTATCTCAGTTACACTTCCTACAGGTAAAGTAACATTAATTCAAAGTCACATGATGTAAGGAAACTTACATACATGTTACAACTGCTAACATGTAAATAGTAGCACTTTTATTATTGCAGAACTAAAGCAGTGACAGTTCTGATCTTTGTGAAAGCTATCTAAAAAGGAACCTAAGGTTATTAATGTATATTATATCTTTTAAAAAACTCACACTTTCAGTTTTGAACATATCAGACATGCATTCAAAAAATATTTATTTACTTTACAATGTTTTTAAACTCATAGTTAATTAAAAATTCTAGAGATATGTAGAATCTACAATAAGGCTCAAGGAATTATATGAAGACAAAGATGGACTAAGAAAAGAAGAGATTGCTGCATTATCGGGGCCTAATGAATTTCACGAGTTCTATGCACGACTCAAGCAGATCAAAGAGTTTCACAGAAAACATCCTAATGAGGTACACAATTCACTTCTTTTAAATACACCTTGTATTATTACCACTCTATTTTTATTCTTGACATTTTAGTTTAGAATGATGGCAAATTCTAATAAAAACAAGCAAATAATTTTTGTTCTACAACACATTTTTATTTCAGATATGTGTCCCTATGTCTGTGGAATTTGAGGAATTGGCAAAATTGAGGGAAAATCCAGCAGAAGATTATACAAGTAAGTAATAGCATTATTAATTGTGAATTTTTAAATATAATATAATAATAATATTCTACCACATTCACACAACGCCATCTAGTCCCAAACTAAGCAGAGCTTGAACTATGGGTACTAGACAACTGATATAAATACATATATTCTTTTTTTTGTAAATACATACATATTATATATAGAAACACCCAGACCAAATCAAACATTAAATTTTCATGCACTCAAATGTTTGACTTGAGCGGGAATTGAACACACAACCTTTGGATTAGCAGTTCGTTACACAAACCACTATGCCATCCGGTCGTCGACAAATGTTTGAGATCTATCAGAATTAAACTAATGAAACTCTTACAGCACCTGTTGAATTCACTGATGAAGAGGGATATGGGAAGTACCTAGATTTGCATGAGTGCTATGAAAAGTACATAAATCTGAAAGGAATTGAGGTAAAAATATAATTATTTTGTAATAAAAACACAATTTTTTTAAAATAAAATTGACATAGAAGAATAGTTCTTTCTTTTTTTATATCATTTGTTAACTTACTTATAAGCCCATTATACAGCAACTTTAATTGTATTTTTATAGAAAGTGGACTACATCACATACCTCGCCATATTTGACCATCTTTTTGATATTCCTCGTGAGCGCAAAAATAGTGAATATAGAAATTACATCAGAGCTCTTCTAACATACTTAAAAGACTTTGTCAATAGAGTAAAGCCTCTACTTGATCAGGCACAGGAGATGGCTAGTGCTCATCAAGAGTTTATTAAACAGTGGGAAGCGGGAACATTTCCTGGATGGCCAGTAAGTGTATTTTTAAATTTGATTTCAAAATTCTCTATCTACATAATGAAATAAAAACATATTATCATAGAATTAGCATTAAAGAAATGAATGTAATAAAAAGAACACCTCATATCATTCAGGTTCTAGTGCATTTACCTTTTTCTAATTCTCATGTGTAACATCTAAATTATTTCAAGAATATGAAAACTTTTTTAACAAATTTCAGAAAGAAACGGGCGGTGCACTAACAAATGTAGGAGCTCATTTGGACTTGTCAGCTTTCTCCTCATGGGAAGAACTAGCCTCACTAGGTCTCGATAGATTGAAGTCAGCTCTTATGGCATTGGGCTTAAAATGCGGTGGTACATTAGAAGAGAGAGCACAAAGGTCTGTAATTAAAGTTGAGGTCATAATCAAGCTCATCTTATAATTTGTTATGAGGTTCTTAACTTTTATAAATGTTTTCAGGTTATTTAGTACTAAAGGCCGAACATCCTTAGACAAATCTCTAGTTGCGAAAAAGGGAGGTAACAAAGCGAAAGCGTCAACACAACAAAGGCATAAGGATATTGCTGCCATTGAAGCCCAAGTATATAGGTAATCTAATTACATTTTATTTTACATTACTATCTATGGATACTGTGTGTACTGACTACTGATGAAGTCTGCAAAACTACATTTCAAGCTAGTTTGTGGTAGGATACATGGCATACGATATGTTGATCTAAGGGTTACATGGTATACCTATGTACCACATTCTACTACTAGTAGTAACTTTTTATTTTAATTAAAACAAACACTGAAACATTGTCCGTGTAGTGACGGACTAAGAATACGGAATTTCACTACCCCAATTCATCCCGTGGGTGTCGTAAGATCCGACTAAAGGCGCAAAACAGCACAGGACACCAGCACTGCAAAAAGAAGGAAAACTTGACACAAATCCTATACCAACCTGTCTGGCCAGCGTGGTATAGTAGGCCAAAACCTCCTTTCTAAGGAGAGGCCTATGTCCAGCAGTGGACTAGTAAAGGCTGTTGATGTGTGATGTGATGTGAAACACTGAGATTGTATGTATACTGTACACAGATTCGCCAATATAACAGGCGGTACCCGGGGTGCAACTATCGAAAACGTTACGCGTCGCGCTGCCCGCGCGGCTGGTGAACGGCGCGACGACAGCGGTGATGAGAGTGACGCATCTGCGGCGCCTGATGTCGATTCTGATGATGATGAAGTGCCGTACAATCCTAAGAATTTGCCTCTGGGATGGGATGGGAAGGTAAGTCTTTAGGAAGATTGAGAGGTTTTAATGGTTCTATAAGCCAATGTGCCCCATATTACTACAACATAAGTGAGGTCCGAAATTCGTGTTTAAGAGATAAGGATTTTATTTATAAATTGTTCTTCAACTAAGATACTAAGATAGTAGTAATCATGCATACTACATTGCATAATAATTAGACTTGCAACGAATAGTATATTCGGCAGTATACCGAATACCGAATATTCGGCGAGGCCCCTGACCGAATAGCCGAATATTAGGCAAAAGTATTCGGCTGGATTTTAGCGCCAAAAACTTGTACAGACGTGAATTAAATTATGTACCTGTTTTATGTACCAATGACTACTTATAGTCCAGGCACATTGACTCATTTACAGAGATAAAAAAAGAAAAATGTTATCCAGATACATACGTTTTCAAATGGTTAAAAGGGTTAAAGTCAACATAAGGAAAATGTGTTATGTGCCCAAGAAAGTTAGGGGATGATTGTAGGGGTTGAAAAGGGGTGAAAATGGATACATCTCGTGTTTTTTGCAATTTCACGCGAAATTTGATGGGACATCAAATGTTGACTTTAACCCTTTTAACCATTTAAAAACGTAGGTTTCTGGATAACATTTTTTTGTTCTCCTTATTCAACGTGCCTGGACTATTAATAAATGATTATAAAAGAAATGAGAACCTTACCCTTCTAAATTTTGATTACCACAATAATTCAAATACATAGAATCCTCAATTTTTCCAATTCAGAAGATGATTATGTACCTGTGTTATGCACCAATGACTACTTAAATGATTATAACAGAAATGAAAATATGAATATATACGTAATCAATCGATTTTAATTTTTCATTTTACCAATTATTTCTCAATGACAAAATATATTATTTAAGTATTCGGTATTCGGCCGAATAATATGTAAAGCAGCCGAATAGGCCGAATACCGAATAGTAACCGAATATTCGTTGCAAGTCTAATAATAATATTAATTATTAATACATTGTGTAGTATGGTTACGAAAAGCACGAATTGTTTAGCTTTCTGTAGTATAGGTACGTTTACCTATTTATGTGGCACTTATCTTCGGGATTGCTTGAATTTGTGATATCTTATACCTCTTAGGTTTAATGGGCTTTAGTAGGTCTTCCTAGGTGATAATCTAAGTCATTGCATTTTATTAGATTGTAATTGTTTTATTTTATGTTGTGTACAGCCTATTCCATATTGGCTGTACAAGTTGCATGGCCTAAACATCAGCTACACCTGTGAGATTTGCGGTAACTACACTTATAAGGGACCGAAAGCGTTTCAGCGTCATTTTGCTGAATGGAGACACGCTCACGGTATGAGATGTTTAGGTATACCAAATACAGCTCATTTCGCAAATGTCACCCAGATTGAAGATGCACTTGCTTGTAAGTATTATCAATAATCTTTACTAATATTATGAAGATAAAAGTTATTGTTTGTAAGTTTTAGTCTTACTACTATATTATATAGTACTATATTAAGATCTTGTAAATAATGTTTGAAATATCACAGTAAATTTAAAAAAGATTAATGACAGACAATAGTCCTTCAAATATGAAAAACCAGTGCAGTGAAATGTGTTGTTCACCTATTCAAAACAAATTCTTTTCCAGTATGGGAGAAAATCAAACATCAAAAAGAAAACGAGCGATTTGTGGCAGAAAATGATGAAGAGTTTGAAGATTCACAAGGAAATGTCGTCAATCGTAAGACCTATGAAGATTTGAAACGACAGGGACTTCTATAACTTTGAATAATGTTTTATCAAAATAAAATTATAAAGGACATGACCAATTTTTTATTTGTAAGTGTTTAAGAACTATTAGTTTTGGGTGTTGTAATATGTGTACCTCTTTGGATATTGTAACATTGATTATAGGAATAAGAACTACACACACACACACATACTATAATCGCTGGGTTCTTTATTATAATTAACACGACCGAATTGCGCTAGTTACCATGAAACAGTACTCCCTGTACTAGCTGTTCCGTGGAACGGAGTTATATGGCGATTTCTTGTAATAGTGAGCGTTGTAAATACAGTGCAATTTTAATAATTAACCAACTACTTTTATTTATTATGTATCCCGCTAGTAACAATATGTTACATATATGTGAGTCTGGGCTTTTTATACTGATTTAGAAATAATACACAGTTTGATTTTTCTTCTCATCTCTGCAACATGCAATAGAACGTTATTCTTTATTGCATAAAACCTTATATTATTAAATAATTAAAGCATAATACATCATTCATTTTCTCAAATAGTATTAATAGTAAATGCAGTATCACATGGTATAACTAATGACTAATAATATAAATATATACACTAATAATAATATATACTAATGACTAATAAACTAAATGTAGTTTTGGTTTTCATTGGATAATATAGTAATACTATCAAAAAAAAACTAATAATAATTTAGTTTATCAACCAATACATAGATTTGAATGTTAGCGAATAAAGAGACAGATTAGAGAACCGATGAGAGACTGCTGTATGGTGTACCATGATAAACAAGGTGAGGCAGGGATGTTAGGTTGTGGTGAGCTAAAATTGGTATAGATGTCAAGGCCCTAAAAGCTGGTATTTGAAAAAAAAGTTGGTACACTCACAATAACGATATATCAATAGAAATAAATAGTTAGTTTTTTTGTTATTTTCAATTAAATTTTAATTCGTCGAAGAAATTTTTAATTATTTAAAAAAATCACACCATAACAAATACCTGATAAAAAAATAGCAATAATAGTATAATTATCATCATTATTCGTTTTTATTATTAGATCCATTGAGTTAAAACAACACTAGAGAAGCAAACCTCATTATCACACGTCGAAAAAAGTGTAACCACTTTTGAACTTTGACGACGTAGCTTTGATACCACTAAACATTTGAAAGTAAACATATTTATGTCTCATTTACACGCGAGACAAGAACAATACCATCGCTCGGATTAGACAAAGACAAAGATATAACTTTACGATGGTGGGCCAGTGTTGACTACCGTATGAAATTTTACCCATAACAACTAAGAAACAATTTTTTTTTAAAACAATTTTGTAATAAAATAAATTAATTTAAATATTCTAAATAATATATTTCGAATTGAATAGAATAGGTATAAATAATAAAATAACTGGAAATATTTGGTTAAAAGGGTTTATATTCAGTGTAAAATCAAACTGCGCTGTGAAGCATCAGTTTTGTATACAATTGTCTTTTAGACTCTTTTTTATAAGTTTGTGTGGATATTTTACTTTCATTATACAATCTTATTTTTACGTATGTAAAAATAATAGCATTTAATAATAAAAGTGAATGATCAACTTGTACTGATAATAAATAATCCCCAGGGTGTATTGCAAATTCTATTATAATTTAAAAAACAAATAAAAAATAAAAAAAATTTTTATTTTATAAAAAAAAATATTTATGTTTATTTACTTTTTTATTTTATACTTTTATTTTTATGATAAACATATATTATTATTATTTTGTACAATTATTATTTAAAATTGATAATAAATTAAGAAAAACAATGAATTAATTTTTTTGTACAAAAGTCTCCAGCACTGCGAGCTTGGCACTTCTGCCAAGCTCGCAGTGAACGTTCAACGGGTCCCTAAAAAAAGGGATCGGTCCAGCCCTAACAACTACCGTTCTTCCTTTATTTTATTATTATTGGCAAAATGTTTAAAAACAGTATAAAGCATATTATTTCATAAATTATAAATTCTCCCACTAATGTGGGAAAACCAAAATGATTTTTTAATGGTAACACTGATTCTAAATTACAATTATCAGTGTTTTATTTCAATTATAGCCTTATTTACGATATTATCAATACAAAAACCACAAACTTACACGTGAAAAGTAATTCCGCATGATTTATTAATGTTTTGTGACCTTGAATCGCATTCTTTCACTACGCATTTAGCCATTTTGGCGATTGTTACTGTCATGTGTCGCTATGTTCAACTCGGTTGACGCCACATTGAATAATGAATTGACGTTTGCTACGCATATGCCTGTGGACATATGTGCAGTAGCAACGATTTTAGGCGGTAATTACTCATCTATGTAAGTATTATATCAATGATTAGATCTTATAAATGTCAATACATAATTTGAGAAAAATATAATAAAAAATTATCCGTGAGTTGTACTGACCGATTTTAATATTATTTTCTGACAAAATCGTACCAGTCATCCATGGATATTCACTCGACTGGAAAGTTAATCTAAAGTAAGTTACTCAATGCGTCAAAAAGAAATATTATTATGAAAGGCAAATTTTTTGAATAATAAATGTTAAAACTATGACGTACAGTAAGAACTTATACATTGTTAGGTACAAAAAAAAATTGCATGTATGATCAATTTAGAAAGTTAGTATTATTGAGTACCAACACAATATTTAGTTGGCACATGGTACAAGACCCTGAAAAATGGTACGTACGAGTATACTAAGAAATTGGTACGTGTAACATCCGAGAGGAGTGAAAACAATAATATAGGGGGCATGAAAGTAGTGCCAGTGGATGACAATTGGAATAGCAACGGGTTATCCTAGTGCGAACGATGTAATTTCATGCAGAAAGATGAGTAAAATGTGGTGAAGAAAGTTTTATGTATAGATACAAGAGTAGAGGATACAAGGGGATACGTACTGCGTACAAGGGGATATAGCTAGCAAGGGAGTAGCCGAAACCACAAATGAAGGAGGAGAATGGACGAAAAAAACTCATTTCACCGACCTCATATAACTGAGTAAAGGGCAAATTGTTAAAAGGAAATTAAACAAATTAACAGTATAATATAATCATAAACTTATTTTATAAAACATCCCAAGCTTAGACCATAATGTGCATCTATGGTTCCATTCAATGTTTTTATTATTTTGTATCATTATGGTGGAAATATATAATCTGTACATACGAGCGCACATGACATTTTATGCCAACGAATGAGAGTTGACACTTGACAGCAACAACAACAACACGCGTATTTTTATTCGGCACGTAAGATAGATTCTGTAAACAACTATGTTCTATGTATTATCTTAATTTGAGTATTATGTTAAAACTTTAAATGATACGTTCTATTTTGCACTCATATTCTTCAGTGTAATTGTTAAATTCTTCGTTTTTACCTTGTTTCGTGACCATGTCTGAACGCTCAAGCAGTCGGATCTTCACCGGTTCCAGAGTTTTAGGTTATGTTAGCACCCATGTGCCATTTGTTGCTAGATTTATCAAAAGGCGCGGTGAAACTCTTTTATGTACAAGTGTAGGTAAATGGTTCCATACTTACGGTTGCGATAAGTTTCGTTTACTTAGCGTAAGCGGTGAACATCCCGGCCCTATCACTTGCATGAGTGGTGATAATTACCACGTCTATACAGCTAGTGAAAATAATATTTATGCATGGCGACGTGGTTGTGAACTTAAACATGTCTACAAAGGACACTCTGCTGCAATACACTTGATGTTTCCTTTCGGCATTCATCTTATTTCGATTGATGAAGAAAATATACTAAAAATCTTTGACATCAAGGAAGAGACGGAGTTCTTGGAACTCGGTTTTGATGAAGACAGTTTTAAAATAACTACATTATGTCATCCACCAACATATTTGAACAAGATATTACTTGGTAGCCAGCAAGGTCAGTTGCAATTATGGAATGTCAGGACTTCAAAGTTGGTGTTCACTTTCAAGGGCTGGGATTCGTCTGTAGTTGTGACAGAACCAGCTCCTGCCGTAGATGTAGTTGCCATTGCCCTGGCTAATGGTAAAGTTATATTACACAATCTGAAATTTAATCAAGTTGTAATGGAGTTCATTCATGACTGGGGAATGGTCAGCAGTTTGTCATTTAGATTAGATGGGGCTCCAGTAATGATAACCGGCAGTTCAAAGGGCCATATAGTAATGTGGGATCTAGAAGAAAGAAGAGTTCTCTCGCAAGTGCAATCTGCACATTACTCTAAAATAGCTGGATTGAAGTGTTTGCAGTCAGAGCCGCTGATGGTTACAAATTCTGAAGATAATTCTTTGAAGTTGTGGATATTTGATATGCCTGATGGTGGAGCAAGACTTCTTAGGAGAAGGTTAGATATAAATATTATTTTCTTTTATTTACAACAATTTCATTTAGGGAATATCTTAGTGCATTCTTATATTTTATCACTATTTAGGATTTTATTTATTGGATTACTAGTGTTTTAGATTATTAAAAGTTATAGTCACAAAAAGGACTACCAGAAATAGAATTCACATAAAAAATGTAGTAAAATAATTGGTCCACTAAATTTTAATATTAGAGATTTAATAAATAATTTAATACCAGACGACTGGTATGATGTTTATTTCTTACTTGAACTGACTAAAAATAACATGCTGTCTCTTGTACCAGTTACAAGAGAGCCAGGTGTAAACTAGAAAGGCAATCTTTGGTGCACTTTATTGTACCCCTGACAATTTTGCATACAATATGTATTGTATATATTATGTAAAACAAATCAGATAAAGAGAATAGATATATGAATAAGCTTAAAAAATAATTATTTTTTTACCACATTTACACAACGCCATCTAGTCCCAAACTAAGCAGAGCTTGTACTATTGGTACTAGACAACTATAAATACAGTATATATATTTTGTAAATACATGCATATTATACATAGAAACACTCAGACCAAATAACACAAAAACCAAATACCTCAAACATTGGAGAGGCCTACCAGTGGACTTTTAAAGGCTGTTGATGAATTAATTATTAAACAATTATATCTATAAATATAATATATTTATAGATATAATTGTTTAATAAACACCTAATAAGTAATATTATTACTTATTAGGTGTTTGTGTGCCTTTGCAACACAAAGGCCTTCTCCCACACTTTCTAATCTTCTTTTTATTGAATTGTGCTGTGTGATAGTGGGCCCACAATCTTTTTAATGTCATGTCTTTTCTAGTTTTCTGTGGATGACTTTTTTTATTGAAACAATCTTTGTCAGAACCAGGACCCTAATTTCTGTTCCATAGCTAAATAATGATAAAGTACACTTGTTGAACAACCTGGTTCTCTATTCTGTTATTTTATTTTCTTTAAAAGGAAAGTCCAGACTTGTGTCAGCACATAATAGACAAATGCGTCTATTCATCTCTTTCATCAGATTTTCTTTCCCATGTTTATTTCCTGACCCTGATAGATATATAGATTCCTCTATCTTTTTTATCCTGGCTTTGTTGACTTTAATTGTAACAATTAAATCACGTTTTTTTTTAAATATATAATAAATATAATATTATATTAGCACTGAAATATATTAATGGGAGAGGCCTATGTCCAGCAGTGGACTGCGATAGGCTGATGATGATGATGATGATATATTAAAGATACCAATACTAATATAATATCACTTAAATCAATTTATCATATTGAATTGTTTTTTTTGTTCTCAGGGAGGGTCATTCACAGCCACCAAGTGTGGTTGCCCATTGTGAGCCTACTGGGCACAATCTTTTAGCAGCTGGTAGTGACAGTAGTCTCCATATAATGAATACTGTATCAGAAACATTCAACAAGAGTCTTGGGAAGGCATCACACAACAGAAAAGCTTCAAAGAAGAAAAGTAAGTTTATTTAGAGAAAAAGTCAGTTAAGTCCACCTTAGTCACATTTGTGCATAAACTGTAAATAAATTGTGTAATGGTAGTAATTTCCATTAAAGCCTCTTAAATGCTTGTAAATATCCAAATATAATAATTTTAAGTATCTTTCAGAGAGATTGCAGGTGGACAACTTAATATTACCACCAATCACAAAACTAAGTTCTTGTATGCAGAGGGACAAGCAGTGGGATAGCATTGCTTCTTTACATGAAGGTTTCTTTATGGCTACCACTTGGTCATACAATAAAATGCGAATGGGGGACCATAAGTTGAAACCACCAGCAACTGACAAAGGTGTAACAGCAAACTGCTTGACTGTAACACACTGTGGCAACTTTGTTCTTATTGGTAAGTATTACGAGTAAGTATTAGTTAAATGACTCATTTTGTATAAAGTATTTAAATATATAGTTTTTTTTTTGTTTAATGCTGTCATACATACTGGCTCTACATCGGAGGCTTGGAGCGGGAGCGTCATAGTACTGTTCTTAAAAAAAGGAGACCAGCATACTGAAGACCTAACGCCCCATATTACTCCTGAGCCATGTGTATATGTTATTCTCGAGGGCCATTACGAATCGACTTGCCCAGAAATGCGAAAACTTCCAACTCATGGAGCAGGCTAGGTTTCGAAAAAGCTTCAGCACCGTGGACCACATATACACATTAAGGCAAATAATTGAGAAGACAGAAGAATACAATCAGCCTCTCTGCCTTGCCTATGTGGACTACTAGAAGGCCTTCGATACCATCGAGACCTGGGTTGTCCTGGAATCTATGCAGAGATGCCTGGTCGACTGAAGATATATCCAAGTGCTGAGATGTCTGTACGAAGCCACAACGATGACCGTCCAAGTACAAGAACAGAGCACAATACCAATTCGATTGAATCGCAGGCTTAGACAAGTAGACGTTTCTCCGGAATTGTTTGCCAATGCATTGGAAGACGTCTTCAAGACGGTCGATTGGACGGGGAATCAATATTAAAGGCCAGTAGATCTTACATTTGCGATTTGCAGACGACACAGTGATCCCAGCGAAATCTCTGCATGATCTGAAAGAAATGCTTAACAGCCTGGACGATTCTTCAAGACGAGTGGGACTGGGGATGAATATTGATAAGTCCAAGATCATGTATAATAGACATGTATCCCCGAGTCCCCGTGAATGGTGCTACTATCGAGGTTGTGCAAGAATACGTCTAGCTTTTCTATGCCATTCAACTAGCCTACGATCACACACACGCACAACTACGATCGGGAGCCTGATAAAAGAATTCGTCTGGGCTGGGTGGCATATCTGAAGCTTGGTCCACAAGTTCAAAGTCGCTCAGCGGACGATGGAGCGTGCGATATCTGGTGTTTCTCTAGTCGACAAAATTCGAAATGAAACGTTTCGACAGTGAAAGTGGGCCGGTCATGTCTCCAGGCGATCTGATGGTCGCTGGAGCCGACGTGTGCTAGAGTGGAGACCGCGATTAGGCAAACGTAGTGTAGGGCGCCCTGCGGCACGTTCAATCGACGACTTGATTAAAATATGTGGATGGATGCGGACTGCCCATGACCGGGATGGTTAGCGCTGTTTGGGGGCGGCCTTCGTTGAGTAGTGGACGGCACTAGGCTGAAATATTTATTGTTTTTTAAAATTCTATACCTAACCATGGATATTGATTGTGTTATAACAGGATACAGCAATGGCGAAGTTCATAAATTTAACATGCAATCGGGCTTGCATCGTGGATGCTATGGGAAAGAAAACAAGCTGGCACACAAGGGAGCACTCAGAGGGGTCGAGACAGATCTTTGTAACCAGAGAGTAATGACCGTTGGAGCGGATGATAAATTAAAGTTTTGGCATTTCAAAGAAGGTAAGTGCCTGCATAATATTTTGTTAATAAATATAGCATGGCATTTTAACATCAGGGGTCGCAAATTTATTTTCCGGGATAGGTAGAAATAAAAACATATTGTATTCATTTTAGTGTCTATCCAAAAGTGGCTCTCTACATGTTTTATTTTTTATTTAGGAACCAAATAACTATTATGCATTTATGACCCTAAAAAATCAAAGACACAATCTACCTTTACTTTTCAATGTGGATACTTACGTTTTTCGCGCTGATTCAGCAGTCACGTTGTAACATGACTGTTATAGTCACCCATTTTATGTCGCCGTCGTTTGACAAATAGTTCTCATATTGACGGCGAGGCTACCGTGAAAGTTTTGACAGGTGACACACCGTTAGAATGTCTGCCACCACTGCCGAAGCTTCGTTTCTCTGAGATTGTGCATTAATTATTATTAACCGAATGCCATTTTTTTTCAATTATAACAGTATAAAATTAAACGGGCAATAAACAATCGAAACGTATTTTAATGCCACTTCTAAATTCAATTATATTGTAGTTAATTTTCTAATTGGTGTACTCGTATGCGAGTAAGTCAAATAATACCCTATTGAGAATACATATATGAGTATTAACTAACAAGGATTGTGGAAATCTTAATACGATTATCCAGTCTTATTTATCTTCCAAAGTTAAAAAATATAGAGGTGTTCACATCAAACAGATAGACAAAACCCAAATTGGACAGATTTGAAATCAAAAACGGTCACTCGAACAATAATTTATTCACAATGGTTCCAACAAAAATATGCGCCCACTGTTTTCCAATGCAATGTTACAGAATTTTAGTTTTGGTGTTTTACATGCTGCACGAATGAAGTATTTTTTTCAGAATATATATATTACAGGTTAATAATAAATATGTTCTTTTAGCAACAACACCTTTCCACGTTATAAGATTAGAAGAATCGGCGACTAGTACAAAGTGTCACAGAGAAAGCGGGTTATTGGCTCTTGCAAATGAGGACTTTTCTATTACAATTGTAGATATCGACACTATGAATATTGTAAGAAAGTTCGATGGCCATAACGGGAGGATTACGGATATTGTATTTGATATTCAGAGTCGGTAAGTGTCTTTTTAAATATTCCGTTATTTGAATTGCAACATTAATTTTGAAATGTAATTTGGTTCGATACGTGTTTTCATTGTTATTTGATGAAACACAAGATCACTTAATTTTATCAATAGTAAAAGCAGTCAGAGTGCATATTATTACTTAGAACAGGACACACATTTTCTAACAGCTTAGGCTAAATGAGTTTTTAGGTCTAACATTTAAGTACACATATAAATATACAAATTTTCATGGCTTTGGCTTAGTTTTTATATTTTCCAGCTTGTAATGAGTATGCTAAAAGTCAAACTAAGAGTAATTGATATTATGGACTTCGTCTTTTGGGATACATATACATACAAACAAGCCAAAATTATGTCCACTATATGAAGTAACGTACGCATATATTTTAGTTAGAAATCTTTTAGTCTGACAAATTGTTATGCATATGTCTATGCTATTATGACTTCGATAAATTTTCGCTTCAAGACATAGATAATATTTATTACGACCTAACTGCAATTTACTACCAAATTTCGACACAAAAACATTACTTCGTATTTCTGAACTTGTGTTCAAAAGGTTCGCTAAAAAATCGTCTACGATGTTACTCGAAATTCGTGTTAATTTTTCTATTTTATTAAAAGGTATATTTCTTTGTAGGTGGCTAATTAGCTCTTCCATGGATTGCACCGTTTGCACCTGGGACATACCGAGTGCCCAACTAGTCGATATTTTCTCCGTAAGTTATAAAACTTTGATAGTTTTGAATTAGAGTAATTTAATTGCATACATTAAACTAAAATATTTATTTTAGGTAGAGCAACCTTGCACATCACTCAGCATGTCTCCAACGGGTGACTTCTTAGCAACGACACACGTGGGTGAACTAGGAATATTTCTATGGGCGAACAGACTATTGTATGAAAAAATATTCCTTAAACCAATAGACAAAAATGCAGTTAGCATACCAAAATTGAGTAAGTATTATTGGAGTATACCGATTTATTTAGTTCGCTTTTCGAAATATAGCCAAATCATTACCCAGATGGGTAATTTAGTCAAAAAAAAATCAGTTATCAGTTTTACAATAAATATTATATACACACATTTAACCCATGTCACGACAGATGCATTTTGTATTTTTTTTAGAACTACCAAGCACAGTTCCAGAGAAACCAGACATAGAGGACATAGGAATCATAGACTTAGGAGAAGAGCCTGAATATATATCACCTCTTCAAATTAGCGAAGAACTCATTACATTATCTGACCAGCCCACGTCACGATGGTTGAATTTGCTCCATCTAGATGTTGTAAAAAAACGCAATAAACCTAAAACACCGCTCACTGTGCCAAAATCTGCTCCTTTCTTTTTGCCTACAAAAGCAAGCCTGGAACTAGAGTTCGATTTAGAAAAAGACAAGGATAACGGAGGAACGAAACTGTTAATACCAGATTCCTTATCTACATTGACAGCTTTCGCAAAGAAATTAATTGTTTGTGAGACGGAAGATAATTACGAGCAGTGTATCGAGAAATTGAAGACGCTATCACCTACAGCCATCGAAGCTGAAGTGACAAGTATGGCGCCAGATGATGGTGGCAGTTTAGATGTGATGAAGCAATTCCTGCTTATGTTAAACGTAATGCTTAAAAGCAATAGAGATTTTGAATTAGCTCAGTCCTATTTGAGTTTGTTTTTAAAGATGCACACGAAATTCGTGTCTCAAAATGAGAAACTTCGTAAATCTTTACTTTTAGTTGAAGAATCTTCAGCGGAAGCTTGGTCTAAGTTACAAAGTCAGTTATTGTATAATATATGTGTTGTTAAAGCGTTAAAAGAAATGTAATAAAATATTTAAAGAATATTTTTGTTATTCACTATTATTTAAATGATCCCAGTACTATACACACTTGTGAACACACTAAAAATATGCTATGAAATCGGAATGAAAAATGAGGCTACGCACCTAAATAAAAAGATACGAAAAAACTTAAAGTAAAGCTGTACTTATACATACAAAGGCAAACAGAAACGTATCTTAACAATGGAACGTAATAAATGATTCTTTCTTATTGTGCACATTGAAAAAGTGGGTTTTTATGAAAGTCGATGCGAATAATCTTGTTGCTATATCTACTTATATATATTTGATTAAATCATAAACCTCTCTGGCGTCTATTGCTCAACGTCGAATACGTCCACGATGAGCATTCAATGGTGAGAAGATTTGTAAGGATTACTGTTTTTTTTTATAAAATATGAATTTTCTTCCGTCTATGCAATTTTTCACCTCCATTGGATTCCGCCTGTTTGCGGATGATGTCACGCGAGGGTCTTTTGCGCGTTTATTGAATATTTTTCGAAGGGAATTAAATCGCGGTGGTTCGGTTCACCGGAGTCGGCGTTCATTAATGGCCGCTTCATTTTCGCAATAAGTATTCATTTATCCGTCCCCCTTAGCGTCGCGACCCACAAGCGCCGAGAATCTTCAATGAAAATCTGATTGTGCTTCCTTTTCTTTGCATTATGAATATCTATCAAATTCCTTCGCATCTTAGCGATTCCTTTATTGAAATCAGATCGAGTATTAAGCAAATAGCGCAAAAGTAATATGTTTAATTAATGTGTAATTTTTTTTAGTCTCGCAAAGGAGAATTGTGGACGTGTGTGTGTGTCACGAGGAATGTGTGTAGATGTAACAAAGGCTTTGAAAAGTCATTTCGATGTGTGTAGTATGCGCCTTCATTTGCAAGCGCTTTAGAAAATGTTAATTTCCGGAGGGCGTTTGGAGCGAGTAGCTACTGTAGGTATGTTTTAATGTACGGTTACAGACCACGTAAGAGAATCGTTATTATTGAAATATGAACGTATTCCGATTGTAAATTGCTCTTCCTAAAATAATGTCTCGGGGAAACATTTCTCGTAAATTATAAAATCATTAACAAAACGGAGGAACCATTAAAGGAACAACGAAATATTACCGAATTCTTATTCGCCGCAAACAATTGATGTTTGAAGTTGTGCTTAGAAGCTTGAATTAAGTCACCCTCGCAATCTACACTTATGCACAAGCCTTAACCTAGTAACTTAATGTGCTGCTCTGTAACTTAATGCTCTTGTAATGCTACCCTAACATCTTAACAAAAACAATTAATATAAAAAGCCATTACCCACAATACCTTTATTAGTATTTTGATGTTTTGTTTGTGAGTACATAGATAGTAAGATATTCGAAGTAAATATACAGTCTTAGTTAGTATACTTTGAATAGTAGTATACTTTGTAGTAGTATACTTTGAACTTAAAATCGGAAGAGTAAACACTAAAGCGCAATTCACACATAAAGCGGGTGCGGGCGCGGTCGGTCGCGTGAGACGCGCTGTTCGTTGTCTTCACACTTAACGCGGTACACGGACGAAAAGTTATTATTTCTACGAATAATAGAACGACGTTATGCCCGCTCCCGACCCGCTCACCCACGCGCTGTCGGGTGCCGCTCCCGCTCAGCACCCGTTTCGCATTCGACCTGCGCACGCTTTCAGTGTGTTGTTTTCCATATAAATACAAAGAATTTGACCCGCTGTACATGTACACCCGTCCCGACCAGCATCCGTCTCGCACCCGCTTTATGTGTGTATTGCGTTTTAGTGTGCGGCCCTATTGAGACAAGAAAATAAGTACTAAAGTTGTAGTGGGTTCTTTGAAGCAGAAAAACTTGGTTTACCTAAAGGGAACATTAATATAGTGCGTAAATAAAATGAAGCTGACTTGCTTACTACACTCACAAGGCGCTGAAGGATTTTAAGAGTTTTATGATTCATGGCGATATTGCTTTTATTATAAAGAGGCGTTATTTTTCTGAAGAAAATATGATCACATAAGATAATAATATTCCCGTTGTAGATCTTTCCACAATAGATCCTAAGTACTTGGTTTATTATTTCTTTCTTCAAGAAGTAACCACCTTAGATTCGTAATAGTTAAGTATCAGTTATCTCACTATTTAATTAGCAACTGTGTAATGTGTTTAATAGTAATTATAATCATCTTATTATTATGACATGAAATTGATTTTATTATTAATTTAAAAAAAAAACTGCTAGCGGTACTCTAACCACTCCAACCAGCGGTACGTTATAGTATAGGCCGCTGTCTAAACTGATAGGTCTAATAAAGAACAGTTTGGTCACAAAGTAGATAGCGCATGAAAAGAATTCACGAATGTATTTATTTTTACACAGATTGTTATGAGAGTTATTTAGTCAACATTCGTAAGGAGTCCGTATTTATTTAATTCGCAGAAACTGGTATACACAAGTATGATGTATTTACAAAAACAACTTTTTACATTTATGTAGGCTTCCTTAACCCTTTGACCGTGGCGTCAATAACGACAAACTGTGCTCTCTACGCCAAGCAACAAATTCCTTGTTTCATACCTACACAATAATAGTGACGGGCTTCAGTATATCGATAAATCATCTATACATTTACAATACCATTGAAGTTTTATTCAATTTCAGCCATATTTTATCTCACTTCTCAGCTAAGTAATCAAGTAATCTGCTCTTATCTGAAGCTGTAACAGCTGTAACAGAGCAGATTTTATAATAAAAAAAGTAATTATTTTTTTTTTAAATTAATTAAGTAATCTCTTTTGTGACGACATCCACTTTACTCAATATTAATTATATGTAAATCTATAAATATTGATTTTGTAACATTAAACAATTAACTCATCATCATATTTTCCCGTGACTAGTCGACGCTATAAGGCGATAAAAACGTGAAAGACAAAGAGACAGTGTTGTTGATAGATTTATAATAGTTATCGATATTTTTACTTTAACAAAATCATTACATGTTAAATGTTAGTGCAGTGATTTTTTTTTGGTAGTCACTATCGGATTCAAATTCAAATGTGATATTAACATCATCGATACACTCAAAAATACACGAAGCAGCTCGTCGTGACCCGGCGATTAATTCTTATAAAATTGCATAAAGACGTGTAACGCTAAATTGTCTTCAAACAAAACACTTACTGCAGATATAATAATTTATGTCTCGACTCTCGAGGATATAATGCATTTTTTTTTCTACCGTTAAATCCCAAAACTACAACCAAGAATACACTAGCCTATGACGTCATAGGTAGACGCTTTAAGTCGTCAACGGCGTTCGTGACACAGAAAAGTATGTGATGAGTAGTAATGTTTGAATAAGTTGTCGATGTTTACTTATGTAAATGGAAAACCATAATGTGACAAGGAAAGTAATTTGTATAAATCATATTTTAGATTAAAAATAATAAATTACCAACTAATAGTTTTTTTTTGTAGTATTTCAATTAATTTAAAAATATAATATAACCCTTTTTTATGTTGTTCAGTTCCTGCTGATGTAGGAGTATATTTGTGTGCAACACGGGGTTAGATACTAGGCAATTTACCTGTCACCATTTTTGAATGGCCCGAGGAACGTCGGGGTACCAGAGCTTTCCTTTCTAGGGTACACCTGGTTCCCCGGCTACTAGTACTCGACACGGCGTTTTTTAGCCGGTTCGAGTCCGACATAGCCACCGGTGGGTGATATCCGAGGATTTCAAAACAGAAATTGCATTGCACAGAAAAAAAAGGTGTAACTTTCAAAGTTAGTTTTTTTTATCAATTAATCTTTAAATATTACGTGTACAAATAGACTGAATTACAGTGCTTTAATGCATTATTATAGTAGTCGAAATCAGGATACATTCTTAAAATCAACATTAGTCAAGTTTTATTCGTCGGTAAAAGTGCGGTAGACGCTTTAAGGCGTCATTGTCGTCTCAATCAAGTTATTGAATGACGGTTAAACTTGCACACTATTTGTGCAGAATCTTACTAATGTTAAACTTTTACAATAGTTAGATATTTCTGTAGATTTTTCTTTTCTACTCATCATTGTTATCATAACAGTCCACTGCTGGACATAGGCCTCTCCTTAGAAAGGAGGTTTTGACTTACTTTACCACGCTGGCCAGACGGATTGGTATAGAGATTGTGTCAAGTTTTCCTTCTCCTTCCAGTGCTGTTGTCTTGCGTAGCTTGCTCCCTTACGACACCCACAGGAAGAATAGAGATGGTCACACTCCGCATTCTTAATCCGTCACCACACGGACTTTTCTACTAGAAAATTATTTTTAAAGCATAGGGAGCAAACGAGCAGACGGGTCTTTTGATATTAAGTGAGTACCACCGCCAATGGACACCTGCAACTCAAGAGTTACATTACGCATTTTGGGCCTCCCTTGAGGGGGGAGGAAAGGTTTTGGCTCTGCTAACCTCACTCACTCGGTGAATGCTTAACACCGGTTTTCTTTGATCGAGTATGGCTCTCCCACAGTATTTTTATAACTAATAATAATATATCTCAAACATCTCACACACGGACGTCTGATCCCAAACCAGGCATTGCCTGTACTATGGTAACCAGGCTACTGATGATAAATTACACCCAGACACAGAACAAATAAATAATAAATATATATTCAGTTCCCGTAACTAGATTTTTCTTTTCTTTAAAAAATTTTTTACTGCTTGGTACTGACTCTGCTAATTGTAAAAACTATAACACGTGAAACTGAAAATGTTTTTGAAGTGTCTTTTATCTGAATATACTAGGTACAAGGAAATGAGGATTGTCGTCCATTTTCTATTACCGATGCTTTATTCCACGCCATTTAACTTTTTCAGTTGAAAATAAAGTTGAATCTTCATAATGCGGCGGGAGAGAGCAGTGGGGTGGGGGCTGCTCGACCACTTGACAGTGTCCGCTGGGTATAAACTCAATATCTAGGAAATTAAC